GTCTGCACCTCTCTTTCCCACACTCCCCACCCCTCCCTTCCAGCCTTTCACACTTCCCACTTCCCTTCAAAAGCCAGCCTCCACACCCACTTCCTCACCTCTTCTATTTCCTACTCTTCCAACCCCGACTGCCCAAGACTTTCAGCTCAACTTCTCTGACCCCTCTGTTAACACCATCCTTGACGAAGATGGCGAGTCAGCCCAACTTTTTCACGACTTTGCCTACATTGCTCTTCATTCCCACTACGAGCCACCTACAATTACTGCTGCCCGCTCTTGCCCCGCTGCTCCCCAATGGCTTGCTGTTGCTGACGCTGAAATTACTGCACTCCTGGCCAACCGCACTTACAGCGTTGTGCTCAAACCGCCCGGCTGCACTCATATCCCTTGCAAATGGGTTTTCAAGGTCAAAGAGAACCCGGATGGGTCCATCGAGCGCTATAAAGCCCGTTTGGTCATTAAAGGCTTCAAGCAACGTGAGGGCATTGACTACACTGAGACATTTGCACCCACCATTCGCTTTGCTATGCTTCGCTTGCTCCTCACCCTTGCTGCTGCCCTTGATCTTGAGATGCATCAACTCGACATCTCCAATGCCTTTCTCAATGGCGACCTTGACGAGATTATTTACATGACCCAACCACCCGGTTTTGAACTCCCTCCTGCCAACGGCTCTCCTCAAGTTTGCCTCCTGCACAAGCCCTTGTACGACCTCAAGCAGGCTCCTCGGTGTTGGTACAAAAAACTGAAATCGGAGCTTCTCACATTTGGCCTTCACACCTCCACTGCCGACCCCGGACTATTCATTGCTGCACTCTCCTCACCTCTTCTTCCACATCCTTCCCACTTCTTCCTTGTCCTAGTCTATGTCGACGATCTCATCATCCTTTCCACCACCATCACACCCCTTACCACCTTCAAGACTTCTCTGTCCACTCGCTTCAAACTTCGTGACCTTGGCCCATTTACTTATTACCTCGGCCTCCACTTAGACCGCGACCGCTCTTCTCGGACCCTCCTCATCCACCAGTCCAAATTTATTACTGCACTCCTCTCTACCTTCAATCTCGGCCACGCCAACCCCAGCCACACCCCCATGGACTCTAAGCTCCTCCTTCCAACACGCTCCTTATTGCCACCCTCTGAACCCTTCCCATATCCCTCTTTGGTAGGCTCTCTCATGTACGCAATGGTTGCCACTCGCCCTGACATAGCCCATTCTACTGGACTCCTTTCACGTCACCTCCATTCTTGGTCGGATCCTCATTGGCTGGCTGCTAGACGTGTTCTCCGTTACCTCAACGGGACTTCTTCCCATGGGCTGCTTCTTGGTGGCAATCCCGCCTCCCTCCAGCTGGTCGGGTATTGTGATGCCTCATGGGCTTCCGAAAGTGAGGATCGTCGTTCCCTCACTGCATACCTGTTTTTTCTGGGATCTTCTCTGATTTCTTGGCAATCCAAGCGGCAATGTGTGGTTGCGACATCCTCTTGTAAAGCTGAATACTACGCGCTCGGTGCGGTAACCCACAAAGCCCTTTGGCTCCGTACTCTCCTCTGCTCTCTCGGCCTTCCCCCCACTGGTCCCACCCCGCTGCTCTGTGACAACACTAGCGCCATTGTCTTGGCAAAGGACGCTGGTGTTTTCCATGCCCGTGCCAAACACATCGACATCCGCCACCATTTCCTCTGTGATCATGCTAACAAAGGGCATATCTCGCTGCACTACATCCCTAGCCGTGATAACCTTGCTGATTTGGGGACCAAGCCTCTCCCTCGTGACACACTTCAGCGTCTACAGTCCTGCATCGGCCTTCGCCCTGCTACTTCTTCTTTGATCTCTCCCTCGGTGTCACCCTAAGGGGGGGTGATGTTAGGTACTTATTTTCCTTTAATTATGCTGAAGGTTAGTTCACTAGTTTGTTTTATGGTTTGTATGTATTTGCTTACATTATAATAGTGTAGACAATAGGGGTTGGGTTATATTAGTTATAGGGTGCCCCCTGAGTGACTTTATCAAGTGCTAGGCACCCCAAATTCGGCTTTGGGGCACCCCAGCACGTTTCCCATCCTTGGGGACGCGGCTCCAGCCTGGACCCACGAATTTCAACATTGGAAACGCGGCTCCAGCTTGGAATTCGCGTTTCCAATTCGTGGAATCGCGGTTCCACTAGAGGGGGCGCTTCCAGGCCCACTTTGAGGGTCCCTCACGTCCCCATCTTGACTGTGGGCGACTTGAGCACCCATTTGGCCACCCCAAGTCCCTTGGGTACCAAATTCCTCACCTGGACGAGCCCAAGTCGCCTCCAAGCTAGCTCTCTTCACTTTCTGCCTATTTTAGCTTTTGTTTTGCTTGTATTCATCACTTCAGCTACCTTTCTGTTTGTAGACCTTTTTCAACATCTCAGAACCAGCTTCTCCTTGTGCACATTGTGCACATAGGTCTGATTTTCTACACTAACTATGGCCGGTGTTGTGTATCCTGAACATGCGAAGTGTTTGAAAATGCTGTCGTTGCTGCCCGAATCATGGCTGCAGTTTACGAGTGGGTTAAGCCTTCCACAAAACCAGGGGCTGTGGACTCTTGAATGGGTGAGGAGCAAGATTCTGGAGGAGGATTTTCGAAGGCGTCAGATGAACAATATGGATGATGGTGATGGTGGCTTCGGCATGCAGGGAAGCGGTTGGAAGAACAGGCGCAACAGGTTCAAGAGCATAAACGGTGACAAGCGCTATGGCAACATGACCAGGCAACGAGAGTCTGATGAGGAAAAGTCATGGAGCGGATGTGACAGGTTCAGCGGAAGAAGAGACAACACGAGCAATCATGACCAATGGAACAGTGAAACTGCAGGACGAGGTGGCTACAGGGCAGGCTTTGGCGGTTTACGGGGAAGGTGTTGGTATTGTCAGAAGCTGGGACATACGTGGATGCATTGCCACGAAAGACCAGATTGGTGGGACCCAAGCTACTTGAACGAAGATGAAAAAGAAGGCGAGAAGCATGGCGTGAACATGGTAGCGGAGCGTGCAAGGGAAACGAATCAACATGAAGGAAGGGCAGCAGGGCAGTTCTTCCATAAAGCGGCAGAATCAACAGCATGTGGGAAAGGAGCACAATACGGATCTGGACGACACACTTGGGTTTTGGATACTGGAGCCGCGTGGTCGATGACTCCATATGTGGAACTACTGGAAAGCATCAATACAACACCCATTTCAGAAGTCAAGTCACGATCCGGACATGCAATGAGGGTGATGGGTGCAAAAGCAGCTGGGTTTTTGGGAGCTGACGGGAAACCAGTCATAATTGAAAAAGTGTTGTTCGTGCCGGAGATGACAGCTAGCTTGATCTCGCTAAGGAAGCTGGCTCTTGCTAGGGTGAACACCGAGAGCAAAGCTGGACGCTTTAAGGGAAGATTCGGGAGCAGAGTGCTTTGGGAGCTGCGCGAAGAATGGGGCCTTGATAATGAGTTGTGGCGGGTGCCTGCCATATCATGGAGTGGCGTCACTACAGTACTGGCTGAAAAGGGGTGCATCGTTGAGGGGGAGACATCGCAAATCAGTGCAGCAGCAGTGAGTGAGTTGAAGCAGATAGGAATGCAGCTGGTTGAGCAGTTGAAGGTCATCGCGTCCTGTTTGAAATTGAAGAAATCCAACATTAAGAGGAGGGTTACATTTAGGGGGAGTAACGCTAGTGCGAGGGTGAAGGTGTGCGAATTTGTGCCATCAGCACAGTTGAGTGGAGTAGAGACTCTCAGCAGGAAGAAGGACGATGAAAGTTCCAAGGATGAGTTGCAAGTAGGCATGATCATCCTGCCCCGGCGGGTCGGGTCAGGCATTTTGAAGCGCTGACCCGGCCGGGTCGGGTCGGGTTTACCCGGTCGGGTCGGGTCGACCCGACACCCGAAACCGGGTCGGGTCGGGTCGGGTCAGATTTAGACCCGAAGTCGTACCCGACCCAGTTTCGGGCACCGCGCCCTAAGTCGGGTCGAGTATTTGGCCCCACCCAACTTTTCCTCCCTCGACAAGTTGCACTAAAGCAGATCGCGAAGTCAATGTCTAAGGTTTGTTTGTTCCCTCGACATTGACATTCCCTCGACAAGTTGCACTAAAGCAGATCGCGAAGTCAATGTCTAAACCCTAGACCGGAGCTGCTGTAGTAATCCATTACCTAACTGCTGCTGTAGTAGGTCATCGTCAAAGTGAAGAGGAAGAAATCGAACGCAAAGATTATTGAAGAGAAGAGCGGCCTGACATTGAGCGAGTCAGGTAGAAGTTGGCAACAAATTGGATGGGGTGAAGGTGGGTTGTGAGCGGTGGATAAGAGGGAATGATCCACCAACAATCTCGAAATTCAGATCTGAAGTTGCTTTAGCAACGCGCGAACTCAGATCTGAATTTCTAGACTCAAATTTGAGTTCGCCAGATCGCGAACTCATCTGATTTTTTTTTTCCGGTCAGCCCGAGCCAAATTTGGCGAATTTTAGAAAAATCCGCAGCGTACGAATTCTATATGCGTATAAACTCAATACGCAATTTGAAACTAGCGTTTTTTCCAACTTAGGAACCTCTTACCCTGCATATGGGGTCCTGGCCCGACCCAACCCGACCCGGCCCCTACCCGACCCGACCCGGGGGCGGGTCACGCCTGACCCGGCACCCGATACCCGGGTCGGGCCAGGATTTTTTTAAGTTCCGACCCGACCCGACCCGACCCGGAACCCGGCTGGCCCGCCCAAGTCGGGTCGGGTCGGGCCTAATGATCATGCCTAGTTGCAAGGTATAAAGGGAGGAACTGCAGACGAGTCAAATCCTCACTTGGCGGATACAAGCAAGGAAAGGTTGTCCAAGAGCAGGATAGGACGGAAGGCAATCAACCAGGATGAACCAACCGAGGGGCGGATAAGCAGAACAACATTGTCAATATGGAGGAATAGGATGGTGAGAAAATCAATGGAGGCTACAGTGCGCTGTTTGGTGATGTTGTGGAAGCTCAAAACATGCTGGCATTTGTCAAAGCTCTGAAGAAGCTCAAGCAACGGGTGTGCAAACTAGCGGAGGAGTGTGCAAATTTTTCAACGGCAATGAAGCAGAAAAGGTGTGGGGAGGAGCGACGCCATTAAGCTCGTGTCACAAGAGAGTGGTGGAGCACCGAATGTGATAACAAACACAGGTTGTGCAAAAGCAGCTGAGCACAGGATGAAGGTGCATGGATTTATCAAGACAGAAGCAGATTGTCGAGAGAGATGATAGGAGCAAGCAAGGGGTGTTTGACGAAGCAGCAATGACTATGGGGTTGTCACCGGATGCTGAAGGAAGCTGGAGAGGCATGTGCGGAGAGCAATGGGTTACAGTCAAAGCTGTTCAGAAATTAGTCACAAGTGGGGGAGCGGACAAGTCGGTTCATGAGTGATTAACACAATTGGGGTGAGTCAGAAGCAAAGGGTGCGTGGTGTAAAATCGCCAGATTTAGGGGAAGTTTGTTGATTACAGAAACACCTTTTCTGTGATTCAATCTGCCGATTTAAGGTTACGATTCAGGTTCTGTAATTGCAGCTGAATGGAGCGGCGAATCTGGTACAACTGAGGTGAAGTATAGGCTGGTCTTGACCAATGGGAGTGGTTGGTGGTGTTCAAGGAGCGAGTCTGACTTTTTGGTTTTGAGCGAACTGTTTTGGAGGTTCTGATTGGCTGCCGTTCTAAATGGTAGTTTCTCATGAGTTCGAGAGAGCAGCTGCTCGCGCTGCCACTGTTCTAGGAGCGAGATTGGTCCTTGTGTCACCAAATATGAACTTGTGTCACAGTGTTGCGCGGGTGTAGATTGTGGTGTAGCGAATGTTGGAATGGAAGTTGAGATTGAGTAGGGGGAGGACGAATTTGACGTTAGGAATGGGAGGGAAAGGACCTAGGGGCGAAATGCATTGAACCAATCAGGGAGGACCAGCCCAAACTCGAGCCGCACATTGTGAAATGTGCGACTTGAGCCTGGGCAAGGTAAGTTCAGTCAGGAACATCCAGTCCATGCTTTTCGCTTGTTATTCTCTTGTCGTGAAATCAGTTGCTCTAGATCCTACATCCAGCAGCACGCCACTAGGAGGGAACCTACGGGGTGAGGGAGGGAACTTCTTCATAACAAGCGAAAAGGGCGCATCATCGCGTGAGCATGGACAAGCACGAGCGGCGATGGGGCTGGCAGTATAGTCGCCGTGAGCAGGAGGAACGGCCGCGGCGCGAGCGCTCGCAAGAACGCGGGCGCTCTCTGGAAAGATCGCCGCGGAGGCCGGCTTTCCGCGCTGATTGGGTCCTCCAAGCGCCAGATGGACGTGGAGGAGGTTCGGCCCGGGATGAAACCGGTGGGGCGGGATCCGCCATGTCGAGAGGCGATCCGTGGCAAACGGATGCGCGCGACGGATCTGGAGGCGATCGTCGATATTGCCGTGACACGAGGGCACATCCCTCGCCGGAAGAAGGGTACCACCGACGCGGAGAAAGCGACCGCGCGCGAGGTCTGCCAGGAGGGCATCTTGGTCAACGAGGAGATCTCGAGACGGACAGCGAAGGGGAGAATTCCCCCGTGGGGAAAATGCGGGAGGAAGGCCGCGGAGAAGGCGCGGACGAGGGCAGCGAGGATCAGCGACGCCAAGTGGAGGACGCCAGTGGGAGTCACGGCTCCACCGCTGGAGCCGACGAGGCTAACGCCGCGCGGGCGGACAGCACGGCGGACCAGAGCGAGGCAAAGGCCGACGGGCCAGAGGGCGCACGAAAGGAGCAGCGAGAGGAACGCCGCAACTGTCAGGAGGGAGATCCCTGGCCCGACCTGTGACAGCAGGACCGAGGAGAGCGGAACACGGAGTCACGCATGTCCGGGCAGCGAGGACGACGCGGAGGAGGACGAGATGAACGGTCGCGCACGCCGGAAAAGCGTCGGCAATGCGGAGCAAGGCGAGGCGAGGGATCACGCTCGCCCGATCCACAGCAGCGACGCGATGGGTGGCGCGGTGGCGGGGAGCGCTCGCCAGATCCGCATCCGCGACGCGAAGGGTGGCGAGGCGGCGGGGAGCGCTCGCCAGATCCGCATCCGCGACACGAAGGGTGGCGCGGTGGCGGGGAGCGCTCGCCAGAGCCGCATCCGCGACGCGAAGGGTGGTGCGGCGGCGGGGAGCGCTCGCCAGATCCGCATCCGCGACGTGAAGGGTGGCGCGGCAGCGGGGAGCGCTCGCCCGAACTGCACCAGAGACGTGAAGGATGGCGTGATGTCAGGTCCCCCTCGCCAGATCTGCGCAGGCAGCGGGAAGGAGCACGTGATGAGGAATGGCAGTCGCCGTACGGCCGTCGGCAGCGTGGAGGAAGAAGAGACGAGAGGTCACCATCGCCAGAGAAGCATCGGCGTGAGACGCGGCGGGAAGAACGGGGGAGGGCAGACCACTCGCTGGATGGGCAAGGTCAACGCACAGAAGGGCGCGCGAGCTCATGGGATCTGCATAAGGAGGCAAGATGGGACCAGCGGGGAAGCAAGGTTGGGGGCGGGAGTTTGGCATATAGTGCGGAACGAGCCAAGGAGGCGAGGGAAGGAATAGAGAGAGCAAGGGAAAGGGGGACACACAGAAGGCAGGCGAGAGCAACAAGCGAGTCCTGGGGAGAAGGTCGAGGGAGTGCGGTGGCGGCACCTCATGTGGAGGTCCCGGCGAGGTTCTCAGGAGATCAACGTACGGGGCCCTCGCTAAAGAATTACCTCATGCAAGCGGGTAATGTGCGGTATCGGTGCGACAGGAGCGGCATGGACCCGGTAGACTTCTTTCTGAGCCTACCTAACACACTGGAGGGGGAGGCGGAGACATTGTATCGGATGAGGATGGATGAGCTGTTGCGGAGGGCGGGAAGGCACGGTGAAGACCCCATGGAGGCGTTCCTCCGCCGGCTGCAGCGACAGTTTCCGGGACACACTGCAGAACGGATAAGGGAGTTTCAGGACTTTTAAAGGGGGCGGATGGAGTCATTGCTCACATACTATAACCGACTTATCAACGTGGCGGAGGACGTGATGTGCACGGACACCAGCCTCCTGATTAGCAAGTTCTTGGGGGGGCTGGACGAGAGCTTGGGGGGTGGCCTAAGGATGAGGGTGTATGAGTTGGGGGCAGATGCGAGCCTAGAAGAGGTATTCGAGCTAGCGGAAAAGGTGGAGCTCGCACAAAGGAAGTATGAAGCATACCTGCCCAAGCCGTCAGAGCGCAGCCGCAGGCCGACATGGGCAGCAGCGATGATTCCCGAGGAACGAGGGAGACCAGAGGGTCGAGGGGAGAGCAGGACTGATACTCGGACCTGTCACAGATGCGGGCAAGTGGGGCATCTGCGCAGGGACTGCAAGAAGTGTGATTGCTGCGGGAAGCCAGGGCACCGAAGGAGAGACTGTCCTGACGCCCCAAGCTGTGAGATGTGTGGCAAGAGGGGGCACGAGGCAAAAGATTGCTATCAGCAGGAGGGAGGAGCAAAGAGGAACCCAGCAGACCTTGAGCGGCAGATCAGTAGACTGCAGTCGCAGCTGCAAGCATTAGGACCGAGGCAGGAAGCAGAGGCGGGAATGTACGCCGGGGATGAAGAAGGAGAAGAGGTGGAACAGGATGTGCAGTGTGCCCTCATGGCCTCGAGAGGCAGGGAAGAGATGGGGCTGAGAAGCGGGGGGAGAGACGGTAGACATGATCATGTGAGGAAGGAGCGGGAGAAGGGACGGAAACCAGAGGAGCAAGAGCAGGAGAATGTGCCAGCGCGCCACCCACAAGAGAGGCTGGCTTGTCAGACCTCCGTGCTACTGGTGAAGGGGGGTGCAATGAAGGTAGAAGGGGAGAGGGTGAGGACTGCCATCATAGACACCGGGGCACAAAGTGTGATGCTGGGCAAGAGCATGGCAGAAAGGCTAGGATTGATGGCACCAGAGAAGCACGTAGCGAAAGGAATGCTGGTGATGATGGCAGAAGGGGGGGAACCGAAGTGGATGCCGTGCACACGCACTCCCATAGAGTTGACCCTGCTGCCAGGGGAAGAACATGAGACCAAGATCAGGATGAAGTGTGGAATCTCAGACTCAGAGGACTCCGACGTCCTGGTGGGCACAGAGATGGTGTTTGCAGTGGGGATGACGATATGCACGTGGACGGAGAAAGTGGAGTTCCGGACGCGATACTGGAAGAAGGAAGGGCCCTTGGGGCAGCTGCCCGTACAGTTCGTGAAGGTGGAGCCAAAGAGAGCGTACCAGACGACTGCAGGGCAGACGCCAGGGGAACAGCAGGCAAGGGGACAGAAGGGACCGAAAGGAGCAGAAGAAGAGCCCAAGATGAAGCGCATGGATGAGCAGAGGCACCAGATTGACTGGCGGCAGCCCATCCAACTGGTGGAGCTGTTCGGGGGAATCGGGGCAGGATTGGCAGCTGTGGTGAGGAGTGGAATCGCCGTGAGACAGTGGATATACGTGGAACAGGCACCAGCAGCGAGGAAGATGGCTGAACACCACGCATTGAAGTTACACGCAGAGTTTCCAGAGCTACTGAGCAGGGAGGTGATCCGGGAAGCAATGGGCAGAACCATTCATGACGTGAGGAAGGTGACAGAGGCAGAGGTAGCCAGCTGGGGGCAGGTGGACCTGCTGGTGGCAGGGTGGGAATGTCAAGGGGTATCATGGGCCGGAAAGGGGAAGGGAGAACTGGACCCCAGGACGAAGCTGATGGAGGACCTGTTTCGTATCATGGACTGGTTGCAGGAGAGGCAAGGCAGGGTGGCATACCTGCTGGAGAACTTGGACCTGGAAGGGGACAGCCGCGAGCCAATTCGGCTAGTGAGAGAGAAGATTAAGAGACAGTTGGGCAAGGGGGTGAGCTCTGATGCGGCAAGAATGGGGCCGTATGCACACCGGCTCAGGATGTATTGGCAAAACGTCGTGCCAGTGCAAGACCTGCAAGACGAGGCGGACGGGGTGAGGAGAGCTTCGGGGAGAAAGGTACAGGACATCCTGGAGCCCGGGCGGACCCCTGCACCAGTGTGCAGGAAGAGCTACAGCAGGCACTACCCATGTAATCAGGTGGGGCAAGACAGGCGGGCGCTGCCCACTCTGGTCGCCTATCAGGGGGCAGCCGGCTATAAGTGGGAAGCGGGGAAGCCGGGGCCGGGGTTAATATATGACCATAAGAGACGACAATGGGAGGAACCAACCGCGCTGGAGCGAGAGCTGGCCATGGGATATGGGGCGGATGTCACAGCACCCACAGGGGTGAGCGAGGAAGAAAGGAGGAGGGCGCTACTAGGGTTTAGGGTGGGGTTGCGCACAGGGAGCACTACTACCAGGTGGGGTTGCGCACAGGGAGCACTACTACCAGGTGGGGTTGCGCACAGGGAGCACTACTACCAGGTGGGGTTGCGCACAGGGAGCACTACTAACAGGTGGGGTTGCGCACAGGGAGCACTACTACCAGGTGGGGTTGCGCACAGGGAGCACTACTACCAGGTGGGGTTGCGCACAGGGAGCACTACTAACAGGTGGGGTTGCGCACAGGGAGCACTACTTCCAGGTGGGGTTGCGCACAGGGAGCACTACTACCAGGTGGGGTTGCGCACAGGGAGCACTACTTCCAGGTGGGGTTGCGCACAGGGAGCACTACTACCAGGTGGGGTTGCGCACAGGGAGCACTACTTCCAGGTGGGGTTGCCCACAGGGAGCACTACTACCAGGTGGGGTTGCGCACAGGGAGCACTACTACCAGGTGGGGTTGCGCACAGGGAGCACTACTTCCAAGTGGGGTTGCGCACAGGGAGCACTACTAACAGGTGGGGTTGCGCACAGGGAGCACTACTACCAGGTGGGGTTGCGCACAGGGAGCACTACTTCCAGGTGGGGTTGCGCACAGGGAGCACTACTACCAGGTGGGGTTGCGCACAGGGAGCATTACTACCAGGTGGGGCGCAGGGGAGCAGGAGGGCGTGGGGGGGCAGCACCAAGTGAGGCGCACACAGGGAGCACCAGCATATGGGGCGCACACAGGGAGCAGCACCAGGCAAGGCGCACATAAAAATCACCAGCAGGTGGGAGCATCACATTCGGAAACTTGTCGAGTGCATTGGTGTTGAGTCAGAACGTGCAGGGGCATGCAGACGAGGTGAGATGCTATATAGGGAAACGAAGGGAGCCAGCAATGCTAACTGCCGTAAAGGTCGGTGGCACGAGCAGCGTTATGAGGCGAACCGTGACACTGAGGTGAGGTGTCACGATGCATTCTTGGCGGCAAGGATGTCAGTGGTGGTTGGAACACCGACGTTGTCTGAGACGTCTCAAAAGTTATGAGGTGAACCATGACGCTGAGGTGAACCATGACGCTGAGGTGACCCATGACGCTGAGGTGACCCATGACGCTGAGGTGAACCATTACGCTGAGGTGTCACAATGCAGTCTTGACCGCAAGGATGCCAGCGGTGGTTGGGAACACCGACGTTGGATGTGGTATGATGAACATGCACGGTGGTCGGCGTGGGATGTCACCATGCAGTGAAATTCATTGAGGGAAGCAGCTTGAGTCAAGCGGCTTCACTGTTGTGGCGATGCAGAGGAGTGTGGTTGGAAATCCAAGGATGGTGGGGTAACCGGCAGTATGTGTTGGTTGGGGGTAGCCCTGACAAAATACATCCTACAATCTTACCTTGGCTTGCTACAGTGTGGCAGTAGGGGCCACGTGAGTGCAGGTTGATTGTAACAAGCGGGAGGAGGGATACAGCAGCAAGACGGTTGTCTTCATGTTTGCCAATAATGGTTTGCGACGTGGCACACACAGCAAGATGGGCAGAATTTAGCTATGCTGCGCACAGACTAATCAATTTGGGACACAAGATCTGCTTCGGATGCCTTGTTGCATTCCTGCTTGCACGCATGCACCAAGAATCGTTACATATGTTAGATGTGGGGATTCATGTGTCCGTGTAACCGCATGTCCCTGTGAATCCAGGCCAAGATCGCTGACTTCGGGTTGCTCAAGAAGCTCGCTGAGTCAGATGGGGGCGGCGACACAACGCGGGTGGCGGGAACACCAGGCTACGTGGATCCGGACTACAACCGAACGCACGTGGTGACTAAGAAGAGCGACGTGTACAGGTCTGTTGCTCCCACAGAGAATAGCATATTATAGATACATTCACACACGCACGTTGCAGCTGTGGCACACACTGGCTTAGCCATGCGCTATTTATGTTCAGCGGATGCTATTGAAGCATCCACATGCAAAGTGCCATGTGTGAAACTGCCTGCACATGGGGAATCCAATTCTGCTCCCCCTTTCTTTTACATTGTGGGCTGCTTTGGAGTTGTACTGCTATAGCTGCTGACAGGGCATGGGCCGCAGGTGGAGGGCACCAACCGGCACATCTGCCGTGGGTGAGAGCGTGAGGCCTGTGAGCATGAGGCCAGCGTGCATGAGGCCAGCGTGCATGATAGAAGTACAAGTGAATGGCAGCAATATCAAGCAGTATCAGCACGTGTGCGTGATAGCAACATTTATTGGTTGCAGCTTGGGTGCATCGCAGCAGCATGAAGTGATAACAGTGTGCGTGCATGCGCGTCACTAACATCATGTGATAGCACGGTGTGAGCATGAGAGCATTATTAGGTTATAGCAGCAAATGTTGCATAAGTGATAGCACAATGCGTGCATGGTACCAAGTTAGCAACATTCAAGGGTAGCAGCATGTGTCCATGGAAGCAATATTCAGTGATAGCCATGTCTGTGCATGATAGGAACTTTCATTGGAAAATGTGTGTGCATGGTAGTACTATCAATCGATTGACGTGTCTGTGCATGATAGAAACATGCACTGATAGCAGCGTCCGCCCATGTTTGTTTGTGTTTCCCCCCTTCCCACAACATCCACACCACTCCCCACCGCACGGCAGGCGACCAGCAAGGTGCAGGCGTATGAGTTTGCGTCACTCAAGGACCCCAAGCTGGAGGCACCGGAGGAGGCGGTGGTGGAGCTGGCAGACATCGCTCTCGACTACGTCAAAGTGCCCGGCTCCCGCCGCCCCGACATGAAAGACCTCGCACGCCGCCTGCAGGGCATCCTCACCAAGTACTGTGCGGACGGTTCTTCCAGTAGCAGCGCCAAACCTGCGATTCACGTGGAGGAGAGACCCGGCTTTGGAGGCGGCACAGCGTGGATACGCTTGTGAGAAGTGAGCTGTCAGAGGAGGGACCCAGTGAGTGGGCTACATCCAGGATTCTTAGCTCGTCTCTGTCAAGCAAGTGGTGGTCATTCCAGTAGGGACTATGAAGGGGCCTATTTCTCGTCTTACACCACTTATTACCATATAGTTCCGGCTAGAAGACCCGGGGGACTCTCTAGAGTTGCTTGAAAAAAAAGCTAGGGTGGACATCTTGGCGGTTGCAAATTTTGAAGACCTGGGGTACACTTATTTATCATCTATCAATCTGTTATTTAGGGTGTACAGCTCAATTTGGGGCGGGGGGGTCTTATATTCGTACCGAATTCACGCAAATTTCACACGAGCAGCACGTCAGATCTGTGTCAGAAAACGAGTCTGACACAAGTGAAGTGTCAGAATTCGAGTCTGACACAAAAAAAGTGTCAGAATTCCAATTTATGACAGTAAAAACGTATGCACAATAGCATTAATAACTACTGTATACAGAAAAGAGGGGGGGTGTTAGGCCCGATGGCCTAAGTCCGCTAAAGAATTTGCGGGGTCGACTAAGTCGAGGATGAAACGCGGCGGAAGACTTTGGCGAAAGAACTTTTAGCGAAATAGGCGAAGAAGTTACTGAGTAATTGAAGAAGAGTTGAATGAGAATTGGTTGATATTGGTGGATACAAACAAGGATGATATAGCATGCATGGTCGAATGTCGGAAAGTACTTCGTGGGACTAGAAAGTAGAAGCAAGAAAAGTAGAGTGCCACGTGGCACTAGAAAATCTAGGAAGATAAGGATAAGGGTGAGTTGGAAAGTACTGTTCGGAATGAACAGTACCGTCAGCCCCCGGATAGAAGTGCCCCTGGGGGTATAAAAAAACACTGTTTTTTAGGGGGTGCGCTTATATTTGAGGAATTGAGAAAGCTTGCTTTCTGTTCTTGCAAAGGCAACGGGCTTCATTACAATTGCAGTAATACAACATTCTCGTCCAACTATTATGATATACAATATACGACTAGGGTGGGTGGGTGGGGAGTGGAACTGCAAAGTTCCGAAATGAAGTCGTGGGTGGAGGCCGAATGGCCTCCAACCCTCGTTATATACTCGGCGAATTGTAATTCGCCGTTGCTTTGCTTCGTTACAGGTAGCTGCGCTTTCACAATACGCATTTTTAGAAAGTGTTACACACTTTCGAAAAAATTCATATTGAGAAAGCTTGCTTTCTGTTCTTGCAAAGGCAACGGGCTTCATTACAATTGGGTCTTCTGAGACATGTGCGGTTGGGGCGTTGTAGACGCGGTGGGTGTGGTTGCGGTTGATGGTCGTCACGAAGTGACAAGAGAGGCGGTGTTGGCGATCACGATTTCCAAGTCGATGACGTTTGGAATGCTGTGTGTGTGAAGGTTGCTCGATGGGTTGATGTGGATGTCTCTGTTTGTTGGTGCAAGAGGATACCGTAGTGGTACACAAATTTTGTCTTTAACTCCCAAAGGTCTATCCAAGTTCTTAACGAGTGGCGAGCTTGTGATTGCATGCAAGTCGTTTCACACGAATAGTTGTATTTCCTTGTTGGGTGCGATCAAACACAGTGGGATGTGTGCATGATGGCGAACACCGATCTCCTGCAGCATTGCTCTTATTTGGGGAAAACATTGAGTGCGGTGTATACCGGTAAGAGTGTGTGTGCACCACCGTAGTCAAGACAGATTCAGAATTCATATTGAGTTGCACTCTACCAACTGTTTGTAACAAGATCACTTAAAAGCAGTTGCTTCCTTGGAAGTTGGTGGGGCTCCAAACCAGCCTTTTTTTTTTTTTTTTTAATAATTATTACCGTATACGATACATCAATAGCCAAGAATGATCCATCCATCCACTCAAATTTCAGCCCATCTTACGGTAAGGCCAGCATGGAGGCCTTCGGGTCCCTTCCCCCACTGGGACGGCTTTAAAGCCACACGAGGACCCTCGGTCCCCTTCCTCCCCTGGGGGACGGCTCTCAAGCCACACGAGGACCCTCGGTCCCCTTCCCCCTCTGGGGGACGGCTCTCAGGCCACACGAGGACCCTCGGTCCCCTTTCCCCCCTGGGGGACGGCTCTCAGGCCACACGGGGACCCTCGGTCCCCTTCCCCCCCTGAAGGACGGCTCTCAGGCCACACGGGGACCCTCGGTCCCCTTCTCCCCCTGGGGGACGGCTCTCAGGCCACACGGGGACCCTCGGTCCCCTTCCCTCCCTGGGGGACGGCTCTCAGGCCACACGGGGACCCTCGGTCCCCTTCCCCCCCTGGGGGACGGCTCTCAGGCCACACGGGGACCCTCGGTCCCCTTCCTCCCATGGGGGACGGCTCTCAGGCCACACGGGGACCCTCGATTTCATCTTTCCGTTCAAGGGCCTCCTTAGGTGTGCGTGTAGTTGATCGTGTCGTCGGTGCGATTTCCCAGCGCGACGAGCAGGGTCCCACTTCTTATAAACTTATTTCCCCAATCGTGGCGTTGAGCTCGTGTTTCTGCCATGAAGGGATTCACGGGGCATAGAGATTAATCGAGAGAAAACGCAGGTGACATGTTGAAAAACAATAATAATTAAAAAAAAAGGAAATGAAATGCACTTGCAGCACTTATATGCAACTTATATGCACTGGCGCCAGTGGCGATTTCGTCCTTGGCGCGCGCCACTGGCGCCAGTGGCGATTTCGTCCTTGGCGCGCGCCACTGGCGCCAGTGGCGTTTTCGTCCTTGGCGCGCGCCACTGGCGCCAGTGGCGATTTCGTCCTTGGCGCGCGCCACTGGCGCCAGTGGCGATTTCGTCCTTGGCGCGCGCCACTGGCGCCAGTGGCGATTTCGTCCTTGGCGCGCGCCACTGGCGCCAGTGGCGATTTCGTCCTTGGCGCGCGCCAATGGCGCCAGTGGCGATTTCGTCCTTGGCGCGCGCCACTGGCGCCAGTGGCGATTTCGTTGCTGGCACGTGCCACTTGCGCGAGTGGCAGAAGCAATTTCGTCCTTGGCGCGCCAGTTGCAGTTTCTCCGGCGCACTTCGATCTCAGTTAGGCGCACGCAAAGTACAGTCGCAGGCGTGATTATGTCGCCCTTCTAGGTGCACATGCAAGGGAGTCGGGCATGTGGCAGTTGGTTGATGTTTCCTAGTACTAAAGCACTACTAGTGGGAGGGGAACTTCAGTGGTGGTTGGACGAGAATGAGTGGAACTGCAAAGTTCCGAAATGAAGTCGTGGGTGGAGGCCGAATGGCCTCCAACCCTCGTTATATACTCGGCGAATTGTAATTCGCCGTTGCTTTGCTTCGTTACAGGTAGCTGCGCTTTCACAATACGCATTTTTAGAAAGTGTTACACACTTTCGAAAATTTTCATTTTTTATAAGCGCCGGGTCTTATATAATGACATATATGAAATCTAGTTTTTTTTTACACTAAAGTGTTCATCTCGTCCTTGCGATTTGAATCGAATCGATATTGTAGAGGGCATTGAATTTGAATTTTGCGTGAATTGGCAATGGCTGATTCCCTACCAACACACACAGTCAGAATGAGTCAGATTGACTCCCTGCCAACACACACAGTCAGAATGAGTCAGATTGACCCCATGACAGCTCATTCTGACTGGACGCGAAGGCATTGAGTCGTGCGAGGGGCAAGGGTTTCGAAATTCTGAATGTGGGGATGCAATATTGTGTTTCGTTTTAGCGTTTTCAGTAAAAATATAAAAAATATTACAGAGGGTGGCGCTTATAATCCGTAAGCCTTCAGGGGTGCGCTTATAATCGAGGACCGGATATAAGCGCCCTCATCCTTTTATAAGCGCCGGCGCTTATCCGAGGCCTGCGCTTCTATCCGGGGGCTTACGGTAAATCCCCCCTTAACACTACCCCCCTCCCAAGGAGGCGACGTCCGCGGCGCCTGCAGACTGGAGGTACGCTTGGAGGCAAGCGTTGTCAGGAGACAGCGAGGACGAAGGAACCCAGCTGTCGTCGGCTGCGTCGTAACCACGCCAACGAACCAAGAAGGTGATGAAAGAGACACCCCCCTGCAGACGGCGCCGGTGCCTGAGGATGCGCTGGATCTGGTAGTCGGGCTCGTCGGTGTCAACAGCTAGCGGCAGTGGATTGCGATCACGGCCCGAGAAGGTGGCGTTGGGATCGGTGTAAGGTCGAAGAAGAGACACGTGGAATGACGGGTGCATGCGGAAATGAGCGGGAAGGCGGAGGCGGTATGCGACTGGACCAAGTGTGCGCTCAATGACGAATGGACCAATGAAGCGAGGGCGAAGCTTGCTGTCCTGTGGCAGTCGGAGGTTGCGGCTATCCAAGAGAACACGATCGCCGACTGCGAACGACACCTCACGACGACTTCGGTTGGTGGTGCGTGCCATGCGTGCATTTACGAGCTCAAGGTGCTTCCTCACGTGATCATGGATGAATGTAAGATGCTGGTGGAAGTTGTCCGCACGAGGGACTGTGGGTGTGAGATCGACACGAGTGGGGACATTGGGGTGCTGACCGTACAGTGCAAAGAACGGTGACATGCCTGTGGACGAGTGGTGCGTGTTGTTGTAGGCGAACTCGGCCATGCTCAGCTTCTTGTCCCATGCGGCTGCGTCGTGCATTGTGATGCTGCGAAGAATCTGCTCAAAGGTCTGGTTCACACGCTCGGTCTGTCCGTCTGTCTCTGGATGGTACGCAGACGACATGGCTAAGCGAGTCCCAAACAGTGCGAAAAGCTGCTTCCAGAACTTCGAAGTGAAACGAGGGTCGCGGTCTGAGATGATGGAATCTGGAACCCCGTGCAGTCGGACTACGTTATCTACGAACAGCATCGCGGCTTCCTCTGATGTGACCTTGCCGTGCGTGGGGATGAAGTGCGCTGCTCGAGAAAACTTATCCACTACCATGAACATGGCGTCGTGACCCCTAACTGTGCGCAGTAAAGCCATGATGAAGTCCATCGTAACTACCTGCCAAGGGCGGTCGGGTGGTGGAATCGGCTGCAAAAGTCCTGCCTTGCGCTGGCGAGAGGACTTCGTACGCTGACACTTGTCTCACGAGCGAATGTAATCCTCTACGTCTACTGCAAGCCCTGGCCAGAAGTACATGCGACTAAGCGTCTTAGCCGTCTTATCTGCTCCGAAGTGCCCTGCACTAACTACGTCGTGCGCCTGTGAGAGAAGGAGCTGTCGAAGAGGGCGGTAGGCAGGTACCCAAATCCGTGTGGTACCCTTCCTTATATAGACACTACCCTACACCTCTGCTCCTACGGGCGGCTGCGGTGTGAAGTCGGGATCTATTGTGTAACCGTGCTTGAAGAGTGCTGTGAGAAGTGGATGGCCGGCAGTAACTGCGAGACTAGCGAGCTGGCAACTAGGGCGAGTGAGCGGATCTGCAGGGTTGCGAACGCCTGGCTTGTACTCTATCCTGTAGTGAAAACTCCCCTCCATGAACTCCATCCATCTAGCCCGGCGACGACTCAGCTGCGGTTGTGACTTGAGAAAGCGAAGCAAGCAATGGTCCGCGCGTATCACACTATCTGCCCCCTCTAGGTAGCACCTCCACACCTTATACGCATGGATGATCGCGAGCGCCTCCTTGTCGTGCATGGGATAGTTCGACTCCGCTCCCCTAAGCTTACGCGACTCGTACGTGATCGGCTGCAACCCGCGTCCCTGACCCTGAAGAAACACTGCTCCTATGGCCTGATCTGAAGAGTCGGTCACTACAACGTACGGGCAAGTGGGATCAGGGTACGACAGTGTCGGTGAAGACGTGAGCGACTGCTTCATCTGCTCGAACGCCTGCTGCTGCGCTGGACCCCAAACGTACTCTACGCCCTTCCGAAGAAGGTCGGTGAGTGAACTAGCGATCGATGCGTAACCCTGAACGAAACGACGATAATAATTGGCGAATTCGAGAAAGCTCTGCAACTCTTTGACTGAGGTCGGTGCTACCCAATCCTGTACTGCTGCGATCTTCTTCGGGTCGGTCCTAATGTCACTAGGGATACGACGTGTCCTAGGAACTCGACCTCGGGGAGAAAGAATTCGCACTTTGACTGCTTCGCGTACAGCTTCTCCCTTCGCAAGACCTCAAAGACCCTCTGCAAGTGTTGCACGTGCTCCTCTTTCAACTTGGAGAAGATCAGGATGTCGTCTAGGTAAACGACCACGAACGAACCTAGGAACTCTGAAAGGGCGGTGTTCATGAGCGTCTGAAACGTCGCTGGGGCGTTGGTCAAGCCGAACGGTAGAACTCTAAACTCGTACAACCCCTGCTTCGTACGAAACGCCGTCTTGTGCTGGTCCTTTGGAATTACACGAATCTGATGGTAACCCGAACGAAGGTCGATCTTTTAGAAGACTCTAGCGCCCTGCACTGCATCGAGAAGATCCTCTACTCTCGGCACCGGGAATCTATTCTTGACGGTGGCGGCGTTTGTCAGATTTATATGACATAGCTACTGTACGCTATAGTGGGGTAGCACATATGGGGTACAGCTTTCTAGGGTTTGTACTTGTACCCAACTTTCCTTTAGTCATTCCATTCTCGTTCAGTTTCTCATGGTATTGAGCAGGTTCCCCTGTGGGAAGTGTTCCTAGGGCCCACCACCTTTTTCCTGCCCGGAGCGCGCTCTACACTGCCCGAGTCGCGCTCCCCTCTCACGGCCCCGTCGTGCCGCCCTTTCGACCCTGTCGCGCCGCCTTAGCGGCCGCGTCCCGCCGCGCTTGCGGCCCCGTCGCGTCACCCTCGCGGCCCCTTCACGTCGCACCGCCCTAGCGGCCGCGTCGCGCCGCCCTCGCGGCCCCAATCCGCCGCCCTCGCGACTCCGTCGCATTGCACCGCCCTCGCGGCCACTTTCACGCCGCCCTCGCGGCCTCTTCAAGCCGCCCTCGCGACCCCCCCCCCCCCCCCCCCCCCCCCCCCCCCCTCCTAGCCGCCCTAGCGGCCCCGTCGCCTACCCCTGCGGCCCCGGCGCCGCCCTTCCCTACCTCTGCTGGCCCCGTCGCCTACCCCTGCGGCCCCGGCGCCGCCCTTCCCTGCCTCGGCGCCGCCTCTGCTGGCCCCGTCGCCTACCCCTGCGGCCCCGGCGCCGCCCTTCCCTGCCTCGGCGCCGCCTCTGCTGGCCCCGCCGCCTACCCCTGCGGCCCCGGAGCTGCCCTTCCCGGCCCCGACGCCGCCTCTACTGGCCCCGACGCTGCTCCACCCGGCCCCGCCGCCGCTCCACCCGGCCCCGCCGCCGCTCCACCCGGCCCCGCCGCCGTCCCCACGCAGCCCCGCCGTCACCACCGAGCCGCCGGCGCTGCCGAGCTGCTGCCGAGCGGCCCGATCCGCCCGAGCCGCCGCGCCACCTGAGCCGCCCGAGCTGCTGGGTCGTCGAGCCGCCGAGCTGCAGTTGCT